AGAAAATCACCTCAGGGGGCAGCTGGTGGTTCAGTGGATAGAGAACGTGCCCTGGAGTCAGAAGGACTTGAGTTGAAATGTAGCCTCAGACACTTACTAGCTGTGTGATCCTGGACTTGCTTCCTCCCACAAAAAAAAAAAAAAAAAAGTCACCTAAGAAAGCCTGCCTACAGTTCCCTCCAAAGAGCCTCACGGAGGTTGCCCTCAGTTCATATATAGAAAACCCTCATAAAGGTTTTGTATAAATGAGAGAGTATAGACATGTAGATCACAAGTTCTCTTGGTCATTCTTTTTTGCTATCAATAAAGGCTAGAATTTCTTTGTCTTTTGACATCTTATAAATCATTCCTTCAATGTACTTTGCATCACTTCTAACACAGATCCCCTCTCTCTCTACCTGATTCAGTCTGAAAGAAGTATAAATGCTACAAACTTACAAAACTGATACCTGAAAGTTTAGTGATTATGTTGAATTTTAATAAGAAACATACAGATATTTAAAAGTTTTAAATAATTAAAGTTTCAGATATCAATTTCGTAAGTTTGTAGCATTTATGCCTCTGAAGTTACTGAAACTTAAAACTGCACTAAGACTTTTGGGACATCCTGTATGCACACACACACACACACACACATACACACATATATACACACACGTGTATATATGTGTATGTACACAGATGTTTTGTTTTTACTTACATGTATATATAATGTTCCTTGATTCCTCTCTGCCGCCCAGCCTGGACCCCCTGCCACCCAAGTGAAACTCTTTAATGCCAAGGACTGTTGGCTTTTGAGTCACACTCCCAGAGCCTAGTTCAGTACCTGACGCCCGGTAGGCATTTATTAAATGCTTGTTGAATTAAAGTGAATGCTGAAGTGCTACATAAATAAGAGAGATCAATAAAAAAAAAATCAACAAGCATTTACTTAGCACCTACTGTATGCCATGCACTGTGCTAAACACTGGAGATACAAGTAACAGGAATAATTGTTATTGAGTTGTTTCAGTTGCGTCCAACTATTCGTTTAGAGTTTTCTTGGCAGAGATACTGGAGTGGTTTGCCGTTTCCTTCTCCAGCTCATTTGACAGATGAGGAACTGGGGCAAACATTAAGTGATCTGCCCAGGGTCACACAGCTAGTAAGTGTCTGAGGCTGAATTTGAATTCAGAAAGATGAGCCTTTATGACTCCAAGGCCAGAACACTATCCATTGTGCCAGCAAACTTACATTCTTTTTTTTTAAAGAATGTTTTTATTTTATTACATGTAAAAACAATTTTAAACATTCTCTTTAAAAATAATTTTTGAATTCCAAATTTTTTTCCTCTTTCCCCTCCCCCTTCCTTGAGAAGAAAAGCACTTTGATATAGATTGTGCATGTGCAGTCTTGCAAAACATATTTCCGTATTAGCCATGTTGCAAAAGAGAACACAGGAACCCCCCCAAAAAAAACAAAAATAAGAAAAATAAAGAAAAAGTATGCTTCAATCTGCATTCAGACTCCATCAATTCTTTCTCTGGAGCTGGATAGCATTTTTCAATTGTCTTGGATAATTATCTTGCTGAGAACGCTGTTACTGTGTACGATGATCTCCTAGCTCTGCTCATTGCACATTGCCTGAGTTCCTGTAAGTCTTTTCAGGTTTTCCCGAGAACATCCTGCTTGTCATTTCTTATAGCCCAATAGTATTCCATCAAAATTATATATCACAACTTGTTCAGCCATTCCCCAATTGATGGGCGTCCTTTTGTTCTTCCAGATGAATTTTGTTATTATTTTTTCTAGCTCTATAAAATAATTTTTGGTAGTTTTATTGGTATGGTGCTGAATAAGTAAATTAAGTTAGGTAGAATTATCATTTTTATTATATTGGCTCTGCCTGGCCATGGGCAATTAATATTTCTCCAGTTGTTTAGATCTGACTTTATTTGTGTGAAAAGTGTTTTGTAATTGTGTTCATATAGTTCCTGGGTTTGTTTTGGCAGGTAAATGCCCAAGTATTTTATATTGTCTGCAGTTATTTCAAAAGGAATTTCTCTTTCTATTTTTTGCTGCTGGACTTTGTTGGTAATATATAAAAATGCTGATGTTTTGTGTGGTTTTATTTTCTATCCTGCAACTTTGTTGAAGCTGTTAATTATTTCAACTGGTTTTTTAGTTGATTCTGTAGGACTCTCCGAGTATACCATCATATCATCTACAAAGAGTGATAGTTTCGTTTCCTCATTACCCATTCTAATACCTTCACTTTCTTTTTCTTCTTTCCTGTAGCTAGAATTTCTAGTACAATATTGAATAATAGTGGTGATAATGGGCATCCTTGTTTCACTCCTGATCTTATTGGGAAGGCTTCTATCTTATCCCCATTGCAAATAATGCATGCTGATGGTTTTAGACAAACACTACTTATTATTTTAAGGAAAGCTCCATTTATTCCTATTCTTTCGAGAATTTTTAATAGGAATGAATGTTGTATCTTATTAAAGGCTTTTTCTGCACTTATTGAGATATTCATATGATTTTTGTTTGTTTTGTTATTGATATGGTCAATCATACTGATAGTTTTCCAAATATTGGACTAATCCTGCATTCCTGGTATCAATCCCACCTGGACATAGAGTGTGATCTCTGTGATGTATTACTGTAATCTCCTTGCTGGTGTTTTATTTAAAATTTTTGCACCAATATTGATTAGGGAAATTGGTGTCTAGTGTTCTTTCTCTGTTTTCGCTCTTCCTGGTTTAGGTATTAGCACCATATTTGTGTCATATAAAGAATTTGATAGAATTCCTTCTCTGTCTATTTTTCCAAATAACTTATATAGTTTTAAAAATAATTGTTCTTGAAATGTTTGGTAGACTATCCACATCCAAAGAAAGAACTATTGAATTTGAATTGCTATTTTTTTTTCTCTTCTGTTGAGTTTTGTTTCCTCTTTCTGATGGTTCCTCCTATTGGTTTTAATTTTTACTTACAACATCATTAATGTGAAAATAAGTTTAATAGGAATGTATATGTATAGCCTATATCAGATTGTGTGCCATCTTGGGGAAGGTGGTGGGGAGGAAGGGGGAAAAATTTTTAAACTCAAAAGCATATGGAAGTGATTGTTGATAAATCAAAATAAATTCACAAAAAATTTTAAAAAACGTTTGGTAGAACTCACTTGTGAATCCATCTGGTCCTGAGGATTTTTTCTTAGGGAGCTCATTTATGGTTTGTTCAATTTCATTTTCTAAGATAGAATTATTTAAATATTCTATTTCCTCTTCTGTTAATCTGGGCAATTTATACATACATATATATATGTATTAAATATTCATCCATTTCACTTAAAGTGTTAGATTTATTGGCATATATTTGGGCAAAATAGCTCCTAATAATTGCTTTAATTTCATCTTTATTTATGTTGAATTCATCTCTTTCATTTTTGATACTAGTAATTTGGTTCTTTCTTTTTTTAAATCAAATTAACCAACTGTCTATCTATTCATTGTTTTTTCCCTTAAAACCAGCTCCTCGTTTTATTAATTCAATGGTTTTCTTTCAATTTTATTAATCTCTCCTTTGACTTTCAGGATTTCCAATTTGATGTTTAAGCTAGCTTACATTCTAATGTTGGAGCAAATGAAGATACATATGTTTATGTGACATAAATATAAGTAAATAAATGCAGATGATGCTTTTAATCATTATTGTTGTTTGGAACTTGAAGCAAATCTTCTCATAGAAGATATGTCATATATCATGGCGATTTGGATTCTAGGCTAGTCTACAAAGACCCGTTTAACCCATAATGAGCTTGAATTTTAGTGTTCTGCCAGTTGCACCCTAAAACCATACCTAATGATGTCTCTATATAAGAAGATGCAGCCAAGGTTCCCCAGTTAGGATGTGCAAAAATATCTCTCATGTGTTCATTGGGTTTGCTCCATCACTAGCCACAGTGGCAGTAGGAGTGGGGATCCCCACTCTGCTCCCAAATGCTGGTAGCTTCCTGCAGTAGGGACTCTGCATGTTCAGGGGATTAGGCAGTAGAGGAAAAGGTGAGCACAGAGATTTGAGGAAGTAGAGACGGTAACTAGGGCAGGCAAACAGGGCTTTTTCACAGGACATTGACAGTTAGAGGGTGGCTATACATACACACACACACACACACACACACACACACATATATATATATGTATGTATATATGTATATACCTGAGCACAATTCTCACTCCATTGAATGTCAGTTACTCTATTGCTTTCATTACGTGGGCCCCAGGAATGTATTGCCTGCTTCCTCTTCCACTCTCACCAGCTGTGGTTTTGACCAGGCACTCTATAGCAGAGAAACCTTAACTATAGAGCTCAGAATGCAGTCTTTTTAAAGCTTTTCTTTGGGTGTTTTATGCAAGGGTTATTGTGGTTTTTTAAAGTAGGTTATCTTTGCTGCTAATAAAACAGATAGGATGCAAAAAAAAAAATAAATAAGTGGACTGTCTCTTACGATTCTTCTTCCCTTTCTCTCTTTTCATTTAGGTCTTGTAACATCACCCATAGGTGCTACATTGTGGGTCACTGCAAAATTCTCTTATATTCCAAAAATAGAAAGGCAAGGTGGTCATAGTGGGCTGAGCACTGGACTCGGAGTTCTAATCCCAACTCAGAGACTTACTAGCTGTGTGACTCTGGGTCAGTCACTTAATCTCTGAGCTTCAATTTTCTCTTCTATGAAAGGAGGCTGGATTCAATGACCTCTACAGTACTTTCCAGCTTCAATCCTGTGATCCTATTCTAAGTACCAGAGACAGCTCTTGAGGAAGACCAGGGGCCTCCCTACCCAGGTCCTTTGACTTGGTACAAAACTCTTCCTGCACCAGTCTAAGCAGCAGTAGTGGGGAGAAGGGAGGGACCCACTAGGGCCTCAAAGGGGACTACCATGGAAGAAAGGGCTGTACATAATAAGTTGGGCACACGTAAGTTGGGGACTGCCTCTATTTCTCTTTCAGGGCCATGTTCTGTAATGACTTAAAGGAGAAATATGAGAAGAAAATCATCATCAAAGGCGTGGATGCAGAAACTATGAATATTCTCTTAGACTATACGTATACAAGTAAGGCTCTCATTACCAAACAAAATGTCCAGCGGGTCTTGGAAGCTGCCAGCCTCTTCCAGGTGGGTGAACTGAGAGACCTGGTGAGATAGTCAACAGAAACTCAAAACTCCCAGAAACTTGTTAGTTCTTGTCTCAGTGAACTGGCTAGATCCGAGCATGGGCTGTTATTAGGATGACAAAAGCTTGTGCTTTTACTGGGGCCTGTGCCTGCTTGAAGGTTGGGGCATGCCTGCCTCAGAGAAGCTTCATGTGGAACCTAGTTGGGGGGGAAGTCGTGAGAGGTGCCGTGGGCATAACTAATAAAGTCCTTGTGGGAATCCTGCCCATTAACTCTTTAATTAAGCTTTTCATCTCCCACCATCAGGCAGTCAACGAGTCGACACTTATTGACAAAAGCGAAGGATTTAGAGAAATCTAGGAAGAGTTGTACGAAGTGATGCAGAGTGAAGTGAGCAGAATCAGAAGAATAATTTATCCAGTGACTTGTAAAGGGAAATAACTTTGGAAGGCTTAAGAACTCTGATCAATGCAGTGACCAATCAAAACTCTAGAGAATATGAATCATGCTTCCCACCTCTTGGCAGAAAAATGCAGACTTTAGATACAGAATGAGACATACGTTTTTTGACCTGACCAATTAAACATGTATTTGTTTTGTTTGGTTATACCTATTTGTTACGGGGATATCTTGTTACAAAGAAGGGAGGAGTATTGTAGAAGGAGACAGAGGGGTATGGATGATGATGCAAAAAATAAGTAAATAAATAACCCAGAGCTGCCCTATTTTTGTCATTCCAGTCACCCAGGTATGTACCCTCTGAATCACTCCTGACTTCTCAGGCTCTCTCACCCATATAATCTGTCCAGTTGCCAAATATTGTCATTTCTGCCTCCACCACAGCTCTTGCATCAGACTTCTCTCTACCCACAGCCACTATGATGTTCCGGGTCTTCATCACCTCTAACCAGAATTTTTGCAATAGTCTCTTTCATTGGTCTCCCTGACTCGAGTGTTTTCTCTCCAAAGCATCCTTCATACAGCTGTGACCTTTCCAGTTTTCTTGTACCTTACTCTCTTGTGTGTACTTTTGGCCTCCTGGCTGTTCCAAAAACAAGACACTCTATCTCTCAGCTCCTGGCATTCTCTCTAGTTGTCCCTTGCGCTTGGAACACTCTTCCTCCTCTGGTCTGACTATTGACCTCTCTGGCTTTCTTTGAGTCCCACCTTCTACATCCCTTCTTAATTCTAGTGCCTTCCTATTTATCCTGTACTTAGCTTGCTTAGTATGTATCTGTTTTCATGTTGTCTCCCCCATTAAATTGTAAGCTCCTTGAGAGCAGGGAACCATCTTTTGCCTCTTTTTCTATCTTAGTGCAGAGCCTGACACATAGTAGACACTTAGTAACTATTTACTGATTGATTAAAAATGATTTTACTAAAGCTCAAGTCTGACAATGTCACACTATACTCCAAAACTCCCTTATTGGATCCTTTGAGGATCAAATAAAACTCTGTCATTTGGCATTTGAAACTCTGACCCAACCTATCTTTCTAGCTGTATCACACATTCTTTCTTTCCATACATTCTATGGACCAGCCAATCTGGTCTTCTTGCTGCCCCTCCTGCATGAGACTCGATCTCCCCTCACTGTGCCTCTACATGGGTTCTTTCCTATGCCTGGAATGTACCTATTCTTTATTTTGCCCCAGGTTTTCTCCAAGACTCAGCCCAGGTGATGCCTTCTGCATGCAGCCTTTCCTATTGCCATCTAGTGCTGGTGCCCTCCCACCAAGGTCTCCTGGGCTTGCTTCATATGTGACATATACACCTATCTATACGCATGTTGTTTCAATCAATCAACAAACATTTCTAAAGCACCTACTATGTGTCAAACATGCCACTAGGTATTGGGAATACAGAACCACAGATGAAACATTGTTTCCCCTTAGGGAGCTTACATTCTATTGGGCATGGGGAACAACATGTATGTAGTCAACTGGCAGGCATTTATTAAGCACTTTCTGTATGCCAGGCACGGTGCTCAGAGATAAGGATACAAAAACAAAGAATGGAACAGTCCCTATTCTCAAGGCCCTTACATTCTATGGGGAAGCAAGTTAGATACATGGTAATTAGGGAGGGAGGGCACAGTTGTCTCCCCTGTTAGAATGTAAGCTCCTTGAAGGCAAAGCCTTTTCCATGTTGGTCTTAACATGCCTACATAGTGGCACATAGTGGGCGCTTACAACATTTTTGTCGATTGACTTATTGATACACAGAGATACATAGTTACACAGGCAACACCAGGGTAGGCTCAGAGATCAGAGCAGGGCCATCAGTTTGTTTTTGTATTGAATTAAAGGGACTAATCAGAAGGCAGGACCACAGAACCTGTGGGAGGTGGGGCATGGTTAACAGTCTTTTGACTACTTTTAGACTCTTACCCAGTTTAGTAATATAGACGCCACAGCCTGAGAAGCAGGTGAAGACTTGAAATGCACCTGCGTGGCTTCCCGGAAAGTGCTCGCTCAGTGAACGGACCACTTGAGCCGGGGACACCCCGTGCAGGCTCTGTAGGGAGAAGTGAACCCACTGAAGGTGGGCCGCAGGTGGCCTGAAAATTGAGTCTCACTTATTTTTATCCTTTGAGCTGAAAGGTTGAAAATAAGTAAAGCCCCAGTCTAGAAGAATTTATCTAGAGGCCTCGAGGCGGCATAATGGATAGAGTTCTGGACTAGAGCAGGAGAAGACCTGAGTTTGAATTCTTCCTCAGATACTTACTAGCTGTGTGACCCTGGGTTAATTACTTAAACCCCCTCTGCCTCTGTTTTCTCATATCTAAAATACTGATAGCCAGGTTGTTGTATGGATCAAATGAGATAATATTGTAAAGTATTTTGTAGACCTCAAATCACTATATCATCATCCTCATCCTCATCCTCACCATCCTCATCCTCATCCTCCTCCTCATCATTGTCATCATCATCATTGTTATTATCATCTTCTCATTACAGGAGAACTGGGTGCAGGTAGAGGAAGAACCAGAGCCAAGTAGGTTCAAAGGTACCACATGGACAGGTCTGGGTCTTAGAGCCACAGAAAAAGATCATAGATCTGGCTGGAAGGCTTAGGGTTAAGGATAGGGTCAGAGTTCAAGTTGGAGTGAGAGTCTGAGGGTTAGGGTTAGCAATAATCTAATCCAACACTCTCATTTTGCAGATGAGGAGACTGAGGCTTCTTATCTCTCCCTTCCTCACGGGCTCCTCCCCATTTGCCCTAAAACACATTCAAGTCTCCACCAGTCTACAGGAAGCTGCTCTCCCAGACATGAGGTCATCTTTTCTCCTTTTTTCCTCTGTGTAGCGTTTCATCCTGCTGCATACTCCAATGAACCTATTCTACCAACTCCCCAATTTCCATGTTATGGTAACATCACTTAGGTTCTCATGCTCAAAGGGAACACGTTATCTTTGACTTTTCTCTCTCCTTCACCTCCCACATATGTCCAATCAATTACCAGTTAATAATAATAACAATAATTTATCAATCACTTACTATGTACCAAGCACTGTGCTAATTTGCAGGAGTATAAAGAAAGGCAAAAATAGCCCCTGCCTTCCATTATGGTCTAATGGGGATAAACAATTATATACACACAAGGTTTACACAGACTAGATTGAGAATAATCTCAGAGGGAAGGGGCCAGTGAGAGTTGGAGGTGGGGCTAGGGAAGGCCTCCTGTAGATACGCATTTTAAGCTAAATCTTGGTGGAAGCCAGGATGCAAAGGTGAGGAGGGAAAGCATTTCAGGCATGGAGGACAGCCAAAGAAAAGGTATGAATCCAGGAGTTCACGGGTAACTTTGGAGAGAGCACTTTGAGTTGATGATGAGGCTGGAAGCCAGACTGCAGAGGGCTTAGAAGGGAGTGAGAAGAAGGGAAGTGGGGGGCACCCATTGTGGACAACCTTCTCAAGGTATTAACCACAAAAGATAAAACCAGGATGATAGCTAGTGGGGATGGTAGGACCAAATGAGGGTTTTTTAAGGATGGAAGAGACATGGGCATGTCAGTAGCTAGCAGGGAAACTGGAAGAGATTGGCGTTAAGAGAGAAAGAGAGTATGATGGAGAGAGAAATCTTCTGGAGAAGATAAAATAGATAGAATCCAGGGTGCATGCAGAGGGAATTAGAAGGGCCACCTCTTCCTAAGAAACAGGAATAAAGAAGGAGATTGTTGGGGAAATGTTATGAGATGAGAAGAGGGAACTCTGTTCATGAGATGAGGTCAAATGACCTCAATTTTTTTCATGAAATTTGGGGCCAGGTCCTCAGCTGAGAGGGTAGGGGGAGGAGCTTACAGAGGAATGAAAAAGTCTGGAACAACAATCATGGTGAAGGAGTGAGCGAATCGATCAGGGAGATGCAAAAAGATTGCTTTGCCAAAGAGGGCATGGTTGAGATGATGGAAGATAAATTGTAGAGGACTCAAGTCGGCATGATTCTGTGATTTTTTCCCAGCTCTGTTTGGCAGCATGGGAGGGAAAGGAGGCTAATGGTGGAAAGAATCTCAGGTTGGTGTTTGGCAAGGCAGGATCGGAGACAGAACAAGGGAGGGAAAGATTTGAGCATATGGTATAGGATGGATTTGGTTCACCAGGGGATCAAGATAGGAAGGAAGGAGAGGGTCGCTAGAGCAGGGACTATAGCCTGAGGCAAGAATTGAGGGGTCAGAGGATTGGAGGTCACCAGGAGGTTGGAGAACAGGGTTAGGGATCGTGAGATAGAAGGGGAAATGGAATGATAAAAGATTATGATCAAAGGAATTTCAGGGTTGCGAATGTGGAAATAGACCACTAATGTGTCGTGACCGTACGCACGCAGCTGAGGTTGAATAGAGGAGAAGTCATAGGAAAGGAGAAGCATGAGATGGAGTAGGTGGTCATGGGAAGTGAGTAGAATGAGGAACTGGGAAATTAGGCTGTTTATGGGAACATCAATGTGCTGCCATCTTCTGGTAGGAGAGCAAGAACTGGGGAGGAGGGAAAGACTGTGAGCCAGGGAGGGATTCACTGAGAATGGAGGGAGAGTGTCCTGGGGGCTGGAGTAGGGGATAAGCCTGGGCACTTAGAACCTTATAGGGGGAGAGGCTGCTGAGCAGGGATGGTAGAGGTGAGGTGAGCAGCGTTCACATGTCTATGACCACAAGTTGGTTCTGATTACGAGCATCAGTTTCTAAATGGCCAGAGGTCATTATCTAACTGACTATATGTACACACACGCGCACACACACACACACACACACACACACACACACACACACACATTTTGATAATGATATCTAGATAGATAGATAGAAGCTAGGTGGTGAAGCAGATAGAGCTCCCAGACTGGAGTCAGGAAGACCTGAGTTCAAATCCAGCCTCAAACACCTAGCTGTGTGACCCTGGGCAAGTCACTTGACCTTTGTTAGGCTTCATCCACTGAAGAAGGAAATGGCAAACCATTCCAGGATGTTTGCCAAGAAAACCCATAATGGGGTCATGAGGACGTGACTGAAAAACAACTAAACAAAGATGCCAGCTCTGTTGCCTGTACCGTCATTGGGGCAGTCCCTGCTATGAGTGAAAACTGTCTTGCCCAAGTCCAGGTGTTTGGGCCTGGGATCAGATCAAATTTCCTTAAAATAACAGCAAGGTTATGTCTAATAGGGAGCTAGGTTTACACAGATAGTCATGTGTACATCACAGATGAAAAGGGATTAATGGATAATGATCGAATTTGACCCTGACAATGAGAGGAGTAAATGCACTCCTTTCCTTCCTTTGGAGCGCTGAGGGACTGTGGCATGGAACAGTTACTCTGTTCATTAGTTTTGCTGAGATTTCTCTCTCTCTCTTCTCTCTCTCTCTCTCTCTCTCTGTGTCTCTCTATCTCTCTCTCTGTGTCTCTCTGTCTCTTTCTCTCTCTCTCATCCTTTGTTATAAAGACTAGATGTTTCTCTTGGGAGAGGCAGTTATACATTTGAAAATAAAGATGATGCAAAAACAAAATATATCAATCAATTTTTAAAAATATGCAGAGGGGAATTAACGTCCCTGATAGTCATACTTGCTTCACACTTCGAGTGCCTGAAATTGCCGGCATGTGGTCCCTTTCTCCATCAATGTAGAGTGCAACTTCTCCAGAAATTAGTAGGCAGTGTTCCAGAGTTGCCCCACTGAATTCAATTTGACAAACACATATTTAGCACCTGCTGGGTGCTGGCTCAGCACACTTTAGTCACTTTTCTCTTAACATGGGAAAAATACAGCCCTCTTTGCCTGAAAGTGGTGGCCTGAGCCAGATGACATGTTGAAATTTGAACTTGGGCTGTTATTTCAACCCTCTAGGCTTTAGTTTCCTCGCCTACAAAATGAAGGAATTGGACTAGATCACGGCTTCATAGGTCTAGATTTGGAAGGGGCCCCAGAGGCCATCTAGTGTATTTGACAAATGGGGAAACTGAGGCTCCCAGAGGCAAAGTGGCTCACCCAAGGTCATATCTAAGGTCGTTCAGTATCTAAAATCCTGCAAGCCTATGATTATCTTCATGATCCCAGACATGAAATAGGAGTCCATCCCTTTCTGACATGTTCTAATTTCATGGTGTTCCTTGCAGTTCCTTAGGATGGTAGATGCCTGTGCCAGCTTTCTCACTGAAGCCCTCAACCCTGAAAACTGTGTTGGAATCCTGAGACTGGCAGACACACACTCCTTGGACCACTTAAAGAAGCAAGTTCAAGGCTACATCATCCAGAATTTCACCCAAATCTTGAACTATGATGAATTCCTGGAGCTCCCGGTGGACACCCTCCACCATACCTTGCAGAGTGACGACCTCTATGTCACTGAGGAATCCCAAGTGTTCGAGATGGTGATGTGCTGGGTCCGGCACAAACAGTCGGAGAGACTTTGTTTGCTCCCGCGTGTCCTGGAGAACGTCCGATTGCCTCTTCTGGACCCCTGGTATTTTGTGGAGACTGTGGAAGCAGACCCGCTCATCCGACAAAGTCCTGAGGTCTTCTCGCTCTTACAGGAAGCAAGGATGTATCATCTCTCTGGCAATGAGGTGGGAGGAAAATGACAGCTGTGTAGAGCAAGCCAACCCTGTGCTTGTTTGAATCTTGGCTCTGCTGCTCATTCGCTGAATGATCTTAGACAATGCCCTTCCTCTGTCTGGTCAGGCCTTCCTCCTTTATAAAATGAGGAGAGTAGACATCTGTAGGGACCCCTCCAGCTTTACATCCCATGTATCTATGCGTCTGTGGCAGCCTCAGGAAAATCAAAGTGGAACTTGGCCAAATTTGGTCAGCATTTTTATTATTTTGCTTCATTTACACACGTGAATAAGGTCCCCCTCATCCCTAGAGCTTCTTGGGCTCAGATTACACCAAGCCAGGTTTACAATAATTACATATTGGGTCCTGAATGTTCTCCTTACAGTGTCTATGGGAGGTCTAAAATAATTTATCCTAGACCAGGCAGAAAAAAAAGTTCTATTTGGGAATCTGAGTTATGTGGCGGGTTCTGGGATTCCATTAGCAAGTTGGAACAGGGGGTATTGAAGATTTGTTAATTGACCCCTTGGAATGCTGGAAACTAGAGCATGGCCGTGAGGGGATGATGAGGTGTGAGGGAGAAGAAGGGACAGGGAGAAGCCAAGCATGGCAATAGCAAACATGGCAGGGCCTGTGGGTGCGAAGCAGGTAGAAAGGAGGGATAAATGGGGCTAACAACTGGAACAAACTGGGTTTTGTACTTTGGATTTTAGGGATGGGGATGAGGAGGGGAGGGAGAGGGGAAGAGAGGCTCTACTCACTGCATCAGACTGCCTGTTAATGATAACAATGATGATGATGATGATTGTGACGATGATGATGATGATGACGAGAGGCAGCTTGCTGTAGCAGACAGAGACTCGAACTCACATCCCACCTCGGACACACACTTAGTGCAACACTGTACATTCCAGGAAGCAAGCCCTCACGTTAGCCGCCATGCCCTGTTCAGATGCAGCCTGGAACACCCCAATTTCCACCTTGCCCCTGAGTGGGTACCTTCCCACCTCTTTATGTCTCCCTTTTATATGGTGTCTTCCCCTTCTAAGCTCCTTTAATTCCTTGGGCTTAGCACAGTGCCTGGAACACAGTAAGTGCTTAATAAATGCTCTGTCTATCTATCTGTCAGTTTAATCTCTCTGGGACTCAGTTTCCTTCTCTATAAAATGAGAGGGTTGGATGAAGTGACTTCTGACCTAAGATTCAGGATCTCCAACTGTCATAGAGATGATGTCCAAACTCCCAAAACTCTGAATCTCAATAACCCTTTGCTATCACTTGGGGTGTGGTAGGGGGCGGGGGTGCAGTGCAGGCTGGGCAGGGGAAGCAGGGTCCTGAGGTTCAAATCCTGCCTATGCTTCTTACTCCTTGTGTGACACTGGGAAAAATCATTTTAGACTCCCTGCCTCTGTTTCCTCATCTGTAGAATGGGGAGCTCCCTTCCAGCTCCGGAATCTATTATCCTATGGAACAGGGGTGGTGATTTTGAAACTGACCAGCCTGGTTAACCCTCAAACCTTGTGAATGATGGTGCTGCTCTCTGGTGGCTCTGGCTTGTGATTGCAATAACAATAAAAGGGGGATTTATTTTATCAGAGCATGTATTATCATCAACATGGCTCACACTTACGGTCACTTTACAGTTTGTAGAGTGCTTTATAAGCAGTATCTCATTTTGGTCCTCACGGCAACCCTATGAAGTTGGGGTAATTATTATCATTTTACTAATGGGGAAAATGAGACTCTGGAAAGGTCGAGTCAGCGATCCACCCAGGACCACTCAGTTAGTAAGTGTCTGAAGCTGGATTTGAGCCCAGCTCTTCCTGACTCCATGCCTAACACTCTAGGCACTATGCCACCCTTCTTCAACTTCATGTGAGAATAAGACCAGGAAATAGCGACAGGAGCAATCTGACCATTACAGAAATGATCAGAAATACAAAGAAATAGAAATACACTGGAGCACGGCTTAATGATGCTTCATCTACGAAGCAGGTGTTTCTGACCCAGGGCCTGGGTTATTCCCCAGGAGTCACACAATGTGCTGTACAGACCAACCATGCCCCATCTCCTTTGTGGAAGAATAGAATCATTATCTATAATGGAGCAGAGACACAGGTGTGAGTCTCCCAGCCTCTATTGACTTCTTGGAGGTGAGAATTGAGAAGATGAAATGCTTTATATGTTTGTCAGTTTGAGTCTTCAGCATTCTTTGAAATGAGTTTAGAGTGTTTTGCAGACCTGCAAATATTAGCTATTGTCATGACTATAAACAAATTTGCATTTTTAAAGGATGTGTTTCTTTGGTTTTCAGATTATTTCGGAGAGAACCAAGCCCAGGATGCACGAATTTCAGTCTGAGGTCTTTATGATCATTGGAGGCTGCACTAAAGATGAGAAGTTTGTGGCTGAAGTGACCTGCTTGGACCCACTGAGGCGCAGTCGCCTGGAGGTAGCCAAGCTCCCAATTACTGAGCAGGAACCAGAGAGTGAGAACAAAAAATGGGTGGAGTTTGCCTGTGTGACCTTAAAAAATGAAGTCTACATATCAGGTAGGGTGCCTCTGCGGTCTGAACGTGACCCTGTGGACCAGACTGTCCATGGGTTTTCTTGGCAAAGACACTGGAGTGGTTTGCCATTTCCCTCTCCAATGGATTAAGGCAAACAGAGCTTAAGTGACTTGCCCAGGATCACACAGCTAGTAAGTGTCTGAGGCTGGATTTGAACTCAGACCTTCCTGACTTCAGACATAGCACTCTAACCCACTGCCACCACCTCACTACCTCGAGACCATGGGGCAGGTCCAGAAGCTGAGATGGAGTCAGTCATCCCAGCCCACCCACCGCTGGTGTAGACGCTCCTTCCGGCTTCAAAGCCATGATGATACTTCCTGCATATGCACCAGAGAGAGACTGACAAGCCTACCAGGTGCCCCCCTCTGGAGAGAACCCTCAGAACTGGGGGAGAAGGGAAAGTGCAGAGGGGGGCCTTTAGGCAAGGGGGTCTGGGAACCCCTTGGACAGACTTCAGGGGATCCATGCTAGAATGAGAAAAAAATCCTTATTTTTACTAACTTTTGGTTTTCTCTGTAATATTAATTATGCAATTATGTCATATTTCATTTTATGCACTTAAAGATGTGATTTTGAGAAGGGTCGGTAGGCTTCCCCAGACTGGCTGCCCAAGGGCTCCAGGGCACAAAAGAGGTTAGGAAGCCTTGCTCGAGGCAATGGTCTAGTAAGCAGACAAGCACTACATTGCTCTGTATTTGTAGTTTAGAAATTTGGTTCAGTTCAATGCCAGTTAATCATCTATTCTGCGCAAGGCGTTTGGGATACAGACAAGGCCAAGCAGTCCTGCCCTCATGGATCTTACATTCTACTGCTATGGGTCCTGTCTGTTGAAATAGGAGAGGAAGTAGTTTGGTACAGTCAATAATCATTTATTAAGCTCTTACTTTGTGCCAGACACAGTGAAAAGGATATTGACTCTGGAATCAGAGACTCTGAGTTCAAATCCTACTTTTGATGTTTACTCCTGTGTGACCTTGGACCTAATATTCCTAAGCCTCAGTTTTCTCATCAGTAAAATGGGGAGGAAGGCTCCAACCAGATCTCCTCTCCAAGGCCCCTTCTGGCTCTGGATCCACAAGCTTGTGAGACACAGTGCCTCAAAAAGCAGCATCATGTGTCTTACGGTTTTAAAATCTTACTTCCATCACTGGTCCAAAGTCCTCATTGATTTCACATAGAGTTTTAAAGCTTTCTGACCTAACAACCCATGTCTTATTTCCACTGTAGGTGGTAAGGAAACACAACGGGATGTCTGGAAGTATAATTCTTCCATCAACAAGTGGATCCAAATTGAGTATTTAAATTTTGGCCGATGGAGACACAAGATGGCGGTTCTGGGTGGCAAAGTCTACGTCATTGGCGGCTTTGATGGTCTGCAGAGAATTAATAATGTGGAAACATATGACCCTTTTCATAACTGTTGGTCAGAGGTAGAGTCTAGATGTTTTTCCTGGGATATTTTAAAAGTTCTATGTCTTAAAAAATTCTTTAAATCCTTTTGTTCAACCTCCACCTTTGCCCTTCCCATTCTGGAGTATCTTGTTTGCTGCTAGAGGGTCAGGGATGTGGCCAGTCGCTTACCGTCTATACCCCTCCCTTCAGAAGGTGGTGATCGCAACATCCACTAAGGGAAATCTTTTAGATGCCAACAGAGAGAATGGCTTCAGCTAGAAGACAGAAGGTCTCTTCCAGGGCAGCATCGTGGGCGTGTCTTCAAGGCTTTCTTCCATCCTCTGTCTTCTTTCGCTTGTCAGCTGGTGTGTTTGTACCCAGACATGGCATTAGGCAGTGTGGTGTAGTGATTAGAGGAATAGGCTCTGAGACCTGGGGGCTGAATCTGCCTTCAAAACTTTATTAGCCTTGTGACCTTGGGCAAGTCACTTAACCTCTGTAGGCCTCAGTTTCCTCATCTGTGAAATCATCCCTTGTTTATTCATTAACAGTTAATCATTTACACAACCTAAGGTCATGGGGGTAAAGCTAGACGGGGCCTCAGAGGCCATGTGGCCCAACCTCCCTCGTTTTATAGATGAAGAAGCTAAGGCCCAAGGAGGTTTAAGTGATGAAGCAGGGTTGGGGTTTGGTCCCAAGTCCTTGTCATTTCCCATTCAGCAAAATGGCATTAAAGATCTCTGACACTCAGCAATAGCAAAAAAAAAAAAAACCATTCCAGCATTTAATGTAGAACGACAACAAAAACCGAAATATGGAAAAACTCCAAATCTGACATCATTGGAAGAGTGGTGTCACTGGTTTCAATGGGGCATTGCCCTCGGAGTCAGGAAGTCCTGGGCAAGTGGCCTCCTTGTGCCTCAGTTTCCTCATCTATAAAATGAGGAAGTTGGATTCAGTGCTCTCAAAGGTCCCTTCTGGCTCTAAATCCAAGATCCTGTGATCTCCAAAGAGTCACAGGACTGGAGCCTGGGTAGCCTGGATTGTTTACTCTAGGGGAAGGAGGGAGAAGGGCAGAGAACAACACGGCCCTAAGCTACCTGCTGGCCCGACAGCACTGGACCCTGTTCAATGGAGATCCCTGTATGGACCAGAGGACATCAGACCGTAGATATAGAGCAGGAAGGCCATCTTGTCCATCTCAAGACCAAATGAGGAGGCTGAGGTCGAGGGAGGTTAAGTTACTTGGCCAAGGTCACACAGGCAGGTGGGATCAGAGATGGGATTTGACTCTACTGTGTAAGAGAGGTTGCTTGGACTGAAAAGACAAGACCTGAATTGTTGAGTAGGGTGGGGGAGAGGATGTGCTGACATTGTGGCATTCCCATGAATTGTCATTTGTGGAGATGGCTTTTTTTTTTTTAATATGGTCTTGGGTATCTACTCCCAGAAGTCTGTGCTGAGCCAATGACTCATCAGGCTGAGGTTGGGAAATGATTCCTAGGTGACAACAAGGAAAAACCGTTCTGTCTCTACTGGGTTTAGGGTGTGTCTGTCAGCTCAGCTGATGGCACCACCCTAGAGCAGGGTGTAGAGATTCTGGAAGAAAGGGGACAGGTGGAGGCAGTGGGGAATGGTACAAAGGACACTGACTCTGGAGTCCAAGGTCTTGGGTTCAAATCCCACAAGTGACCATCAGCAAGTCACTTAACTCACTTAGCTTCTATGGGCCTCAGTGTCCTCGTCTGTAAAATGATGAAGTTGGTCTAGATGGCCTCTGGAATCTCTTTCAGATCTAGATGGATGATCCTTTGATCTCTTTGGGCTGAGTTTCCTCCTCTGTGAGATGAAGGATGCTTCCCTCTGAGTCACAAGGAGATGCTAGTAGTCTTATTTGAAGAGGCAGGGCCCCGAGAACAAGGACAGATATCTCATCTTCTGAGACTGCATCAGTCCTTCTTTGATTCTTAGGTTCCTAGATTTAGAACTGGAAGGAACATTGAAGACTGTCTAATCCCACTTCCTCACTAACAGGTGGTAAAACTGAGGTCTAGGGCGGTATGAAGGGGCAGAACCAAAATTTGAACTCAGCTCCTCCTTCCCTAAGTCCTCCAGCCATCTCTTCACCACCTCACACCCTGTCTAATATGTTGGGGTGAAAGAGTAGGGGGAGTGGGGAGGGGATTGGAGAACCAGACTGACTCTGTCCCCTTTGGTACTGAGACAACCATCTCACTTCCTCTCCCGGGGTCCAGGCGGCCCCTCTCCTGATCCACGTGAGCTCCTTTGCCGCTGCCAGCCATAAAAAGAAGCTGTATGTGATTGGGGGAGGACCCAACGGAAAGCTGGCAACGGACAAGACTCAGTGTTACGACGCTTCGGCCAACAAGTGGTGCTTGAAGTCGTCCATGCCGGTGGAGGCCAAATGCATCAATGCTGTCAGCTTCCGGGACCACATCTACGTTGTGGGTAAGTGGGGACCGGAGATATAGAGCTGAAGGGAGCCCTGGAACCCATCTCGTCCAGTCCCCTCACTCTTGGGGTGAGGAAACTGAGACCCAAGGGGAAGTGACCTGCCTAAGGTCACCCAGGTGGCAAGCATTTGAACCCAGGCAGGCTTTGAACCCAGGTCCTCTGACTCCGGGGTCCATGCTCTTTCTTACCATATCACATTGACCACAAGGAAGTCATAGGATCCTATATCTGGATCTGGAAGAAACGTCAGATGCCATCAATCAAGTCCAGCCTGCTGATTTGATTCAGCCAGTTCTATAAATATGAGTAGTTTTTTCATTAGTTAGTTAAAAAAATAAAAAAAGAATAGTTCACACCTACTTAGCACACTATGATTTATAAAGTCCTTTAATACATCATAACAACCAACAGTCTGTTCTCAGGGCTACCCATCTGGCCCCAATCCCTCTGCTGACCTCCAGTCTCCCATCTCCAACTGGATTTCCAGTAGCCGTCTTAAACTCGGTTAATGATAATGTTTCATTTTTTTCTTTCTTTTTGTTCCTCCTGCAAATTTTGATGAACTAAAAGTCTATTTTCTTGTCACATTCACCTCCCCTGACCAAAAGCTGTCCCACAGGATGGGAAAATTTACTTAAGACCTTAAAGATTCCTTAGATAGGAAGCCAGAGCAAGAATGTCAACTGTCCCTGACTCCTTGGGGCCATGGAAATCATCCTCCTCATTTAGTTTATTTGTGAATCCTCTAAATGTAGTTTCATTTGCAAACTGACACAGGTCAGTCCTCTGTAGAGTTTGATGGAATCTGAGTCCTTAGGGGATGTATGAGATGATAATTCTCTTAAATTTGTTCCATTTTCCATGACATTGAAGAAAGCATAGGTTTAGGAATCTCTCTTTTCTTGCATTTTTATGGCCTAAAAAGAAATGTACAAGATTGCAATATTGAAATGAATTCTTTGTCACTGGAATGTAATACTACCTGTAAGAAGGCTTGTTAGAATCCTAATGATTATTCAGGTTTCCTCCAAGGCCTAAATCTATGCTTGAGGATGATAATAAAACCTCGGTCTTTCCTTCTATAATTTCCATCATGGTAAATATATTTTGGCAGCAAAATACCTGCCACACGAACTCAGAGAAGAGATATTTCTCCCATAATGCTCAATATGCATAAAACAGAACTCATTATCTATCCCCCAGATCCTCCCTTCCTACCTTTCTTATTATTGTGGAGGGTAACACCGTCCTTCGGTTCCCTTGGGCTCACAACCTAGGTGTTATTGCTGTCTCTCATCACCCATATCCAACCTGCTGCCAACGCCTGCCTTTGCAACATCTCCTGAATATGTCCTCTTTTCTCCTCTGACACCGCCACCACTCACTCACTCACTCAATATTTATTTAGCGCCTACTGTGTGCCAAGCACTTGGCTAAATGCAGGCTCTCTCGTCAGCCCAGTCCTGGACTATTGCACTAGCCTTTGGAGGGGGGGGAGGCGTCTCCTTGCATCTCTTTCCACTCCAATACATCCTCTATTCAGCCACTCAAAATAATTTTCCTAAAGTGTAGGTCTGACTATCTCTCTCTCTCTCTGTCTCTCTTTGTCTCTCTGTCTCTGTCTCTGTGTCTGTGTATGCCTCTGTGTCTCTCTGTCTTTCTGTCTCTGTCTTTCACACACACACACACACACACACACACACACACACACACACACACCTCAATTCACCCCCACCCTGCCCCATTCAATAAGCTCCAGGGGCTTCTTATCATCTCCAGGATCAAATACAAACTTCTCTGTTTGGCCTTCAAAGCCCTTCACAGCCAAGACCCTTCCTATCTTCCCAGTCTTCTTACACCTTACTCCCCAACATGTACTCTTTTGATCTAGGGACACTGGCCTCCTGGCTGTTCTAAGAAGAAGACCATCCATCTCTCGACTCCGGACATTCTCTCTGGTTATCTCCAATCTCTGGAACACTCTGATCTTCCTGACTTCCTTTAAGTTCCAACTAAAATCCCACCTTCTACAGGAAGCCTTCCCTCTTAATTCCAGAGCTTTCCCTCTGTTAATTATTTCCTATTTATCCTGTCTGTCGCTCCCTTTGTATATATTTGTTTACAATTTGTCCTCCACATTAGATTGTAAGCTCCTTGAGGGCAGGGACTGTCTTTTGCCTCTTTTTGTATCCCCAGTGTTTAGTGCAATGCCTGGCACATAGTAGGTGCTTGATAAGTATTTGTTGATTGATTGATTAAGGTAGGTAGTGCAAGAAGTCATAGCCCCATTTTACAGATGAGGAAACTGAGGCTCAGAAGGGTGATTTGATTTCCTTCCTTCCCTGTGATACAGAGGAAGGAGCACTGACAGGAATGAGTGAACCTTGGTTCAAATCCCAGTCTGATGGGAACTACCTACACGACCTTACGCAAACCCCTTAGGTTGTCCGAGCCTCAGTCTCCCCATCAGTGGAATGAGGTGTCAGATTAGATGACTTCCGAGGGTCTTTCCAGCTACCGATATAGGAGTGTCATGGCCAATAGATCTTGAAATCAGGACTTCTGACTCAAAGTCTAGACTTTTTTTTTCGGTTGGTATTATAATGTATATTAAAATAATGCTATGAGTTAATAGAAGAGCAAAGAACCAAAGAATTAAAATGCAAGCTATGGAAAATCTCAGCTAAAACCCGAATGTGTCCAAGGTAGCTAACTAAAAGCTCGAGAAAGTCCTCAATAAAATAAAGGACTAGGAAACAATTGGCAATTTTCAGTCCTCAAAGTTGTGAGGTCTGCATTTTACATCCTTTTCTCAATCAGGAAAAAAAATTCATTTTTTTAAAAATTTAGATCTTCTTTTTTTAAAATTTTTTTATTAATTTGTTTTGATTTATCAGCAATCATTTCCATATGCTTTTGAGTTTAAAATTTTTCTCCCCCTTCCTCCCCACCACCCTCCCCAAGACGGCACACAATCTGATATAGGCTATACAAATACATTCCTATTAAATATATTTTCACATTAGTAATGTTGTAAGTAACAATTAGAACCAATAGGAGAAGCCACCAGAAAGAAGAAACAAAACTCAACAGAAGAGAAAAAAAATAGCAATTCAACTTCCATAGTTCTTTCTTTGGATGTCAATAGCATTTTCCATCACGAGGCCTTTGGAGATGTCTTAGATCCTTGTATTGCCGGGAAGGGTTAAGTTTATCAATATTAGTCATCACACAACATGGCTGTTATTGTGTACATTGTTCTCTTGGTTCTGCTCTCTTCACTCAGCGTCAGACCATACAAGCCTTTCCAGGTTTATCTGAAGTCAGCCTGCTCATCATTTCTTATAGAACAATAGTATTCCATTACATTCATATACCACAACTTGTTCAGCCATTCCCCAATTGATGGGCATCCTTTCAATTTCCAATTCTTGGCCACCACAGAAAGAGCTGCTATGAATATTTTTGTACATGTGGGTCCTTTTCCCGTTTGTGTGATCTCTTTGGGATACAGCCCTAGAAGTGTTATTGCTGGGTCAAAGGGTATGCACATAAAAAATTCTTTTTGAATGTTATGTAACATATACATAAAACAAGATAGAAAAACACATTATAAACTTGTAGCAATGGCTATAAATACATTATCTTACATGTTTCTCATTGCCAATAGGTTGGTTATGGTATATGCAGAGCGCAAAACTGCTAAGATAATAAAGACCAGATAAATACATGTCAGTTGTATGGTAGCATACAAGGGGCACTCCCGTCTACCCACTCTAAAAAAAAATCATGTAATACTGTCAGAAAAAAGTCCTAAGACTACATATTTTAATAAGAAATAAATTCAATAAGGAATTAAAGATAAGTTATGCAGGTTTTCTCATGGCTTTAAATGAAGGACTTCTCTAGCTTTTGCCTCCTAGAATACTTAGCTGCCTCCATGTGAACTGCCACCTTAAAGACCCCTGGCCTTGTCATATGGTCTGACTTTATATCCTTAGTACGTCCAGGCCTTTCCTTCTGCCCTGCTGCTCAGCCCTCTTAAGTGTGTTGATTTCCTCAATTACCATGTGAGCCCTTTTCCTTCCCATCCCTCCCCCTTCCTTCCTCCCTCCCTTCCTTCCTTCCTTTCTTCTTTCCTTCCATGACTCAGTTTAGGTGCCGCCTCCCCCCAGACAATCCTTCCCTAATCTCTACTCCCTTCTACTCTCTACTCTCATCTTTCTCAAATTTTCTTGTGTTTACTTCTCTGTATAAATGTATATATATATATATATTGCATACACATACATACCCACAAAATATACATATGCATGTATTCACACACCAAGGTGTGTATGTGTTATTGGTAAGGCCTCCCTCAACTAGAACGTGAATCCTTTGTGAGCCAGGACTCCCTCTCTGTTCTCTGTGCATCCCACTGCTTGGCACAGGGCTTGGCACATAGGAAGTACCAATTGTTCCATCACCAACCCCTTAAAACAGAAGCTCTGGGAGGGCAGGGGCTCGTTTCCCTTTTCGTCTCTCTGTCTCTGGTGCCCCACACATGG